CCAGGCGTTGGAAGCGGGTTGGGAACGACGAGGCTGGTATTCATCTAACCAAAGGGTTAGAACGTCACACTTGGAGCAGCGAGGAGCGAACAGCTGACGCCGCGGCAAAGACGTCACAACTGGTATCGTGATCATAGGATCAGAACCCCGGACCACGTCACGTCACAGCTGGCGTCGCGAACGGGATCGAACGACACAGTCGACGCTGCGACCAGGGGGGACGACGTCACATATATATATATATATATATATATATATATATATATATATATATATATATAAATTAACAATTATAAAAAGTGTTTATAACTTGTTATAAATGCAATTATGTTTCAGCACTATAGGTGCTTCTTCAGGCGGTGATGGTTAACTGGAGAATTTTGTAGTTTAAAAACAGCAATACCCTCACAGGAATAAACTGAATAAACACCTACAGTGCTGGAACATGATTGCATTTATGTTACGGTTTTTAACCTGTTTTTGTTATAATTGTTAATAAATATATTTAAGTTCTACTCTGTATTGAGCATTTTTCAAAAATGTAATGTTTGAACATTGGAATTAACCTACATTAAACTTGGATATATATATATATATATATATATATAGAGAGAGAGAGAGAGAGAGAGAGATAAGGTGTATTTTCGGCAGCAATAATTCTTTCAAAAAAGTTTGGCTGAATAACAACAACAAATTCTATCAAATTCCTTAGTAACTTTTTCAAATTTCCAATTTAGTTGTTTTATATAATCGGTAAATTTATCAATGTTCATATTTATTTTTATGTTTTTTCCCCGAGTACTTTCGAGCTATTTTTGGTTAATTCCGGTGTATAAACTTTTGCTTCAATTCACTCAAGATGACGTCATTTAAATGATTTCAAATGGATTTTCTATGTTTTTTTTCCTTTTGAGCATAATAAACTTCAATATACGGTCCCTTGTAGCGAAAAATACCCTCATGTTGGCTGCTTCTCATGTATGAGAACGGCTTCCAGAATTTTGAGTCTTTCTTTGCATTGTCCTACATAAAAAAAACAGTTACGTAAACATGCACAAAACACAATCCTTGTAAACAAATGTAGCAACATTCGAAATTACTCGTGAAAAATAATATAAAATAAAAATATATATGAATTTTGGTAAATTGACTGATTAAATAACACAACTAATTCGGCAATTTGAAAAGTTTAATAAAAAAAATTCGTCGACAGAACTTGTCGATATTATTCAACCACACAAGTTGTTATATATATATATATATATATATATATATATATATATATATAGAGAGAGAGAGAGAGAGAGAGGGGGGTAAAAAAATCCGTTGTTATATAAAAACATAAGATTAATACTCGTTTTTTTTTGTTTTTTTTAAATAAAACTTCTTCCGTTGAGATAGATACTTATCACCCTCCTTGACTGCTGTCTCGTGCCTAGCGCCTGACTGAAACAGTGAGAAGTTTAAACTCTGTATTAGGTGTTTCCGGCGTTAAATTTTAAGTTCGCACTTAAGCTTCCAATCTCAATTCCTCACAGTTAACTGGTGCATCCCCACTCCCTCTAACCTTACAGACATGAACTCCATTTCATTCCACATCGGGGTTGAAAAGACAGACAACCACTTTTGTCGTCTGCCGAAATAGCTTATTCCCCATATGAGGTAAAAGGATTTGTTTGATTATTAATTATATTGCTCTGAATAATTAAATAAAATACATCGAGCTCATTTTTGTGGATCTGTTCTAATATTTTCATATTACTAGGATTTACTTGGATTATATACGAACCCCACTAATATATATATATATAATTATTTATTTAAAAATATGATTCCATCGCTATATAAGAGTTCTCATGTTTCAAAACAAGAGCCGAAAACTTCAATATAATTATTTGAATTAAATTGAATTAAAGTACCAAGCTATGTTCCATCTTCAAGCGAAATTTTTTTTTTTTTTTTTGGTGGGGGGGATAACTAATTCCTGAAATTTACGCGTTTTATAAGCATATTCATTATTAAAATTAAAATTATTATGGTAACGGCTACAGCAATTATTTTTAAAAAAGGGGCGTAAGGGTTAATAATTTGTATCAATATCTCAGTTACATTCAAAGAGGTCAAGTCAGGATAAGGTTGGGATGTCTAAATTTAAAGCGGAAGATGACATCGTCTATTCTGGTTAAGTGTCTATGGAGATTTTTTTTTTTTTTTGATTTTTTTTCCTGAAAGGGTTTTGTGTATATAAAAAAACTCATAATTCGCTAACATTTGTTTTTTGACGACTTTATAAAGTTTTTTTTTTTTTTTTTTTTTTATTGGGTAGGGTATTTAAACTCTTTATTTAGACTATGGAGTTTAAAATTTGTATTTATTATTTTATTGTTTGTTTGTTTTTTATGTTAATTATTCAATGCGAAAATTTGATGATGCCGGCAAAAAACCGTTAACTCATGTCTATTGCTTAATAAAGTTTTATTATTTTGAAACTTGATAATGTGTAGTTTTTCATGTAGGCATAAAGGGCATGGGTCATCCCAAGTTTTACAAGTTCTAGTTTTGTTTATAATTTTCCATTTTACTTTTGGTGTTTTATTCATTTCCTTCAAATGCCATAAATATTTAGATAGAGATGTCTGATTTCTTTTATTAATATTGTTGAAGGAGTACTTATGCTGCTTCCATCTGGTTTTAAATTTATTCTTCGTAGACCCAATATATATATATATATATATATATATATATATATATGCTTGGTACTTTTGGCAATTTCAACCATGGAAATATTAACAATCAAACAAGTTATCAAGCCTTTTACGAAAATGGAGGTTCAAACAGAAATGCATTTCGTGCACTTCGCGATTTTTTGGTCAACATAATCGACCAACCGAGAGTGCAATTGGAAACGTTGGACCGTTGTTGTAGAGAGGTTCAATTCCTGCGCGCGATGACGAATAGAGGTGTCTCGATTTTCGGTCACATTTTCGTGCACTGCAGCAATGTTTTCAGCTGAACGGCGTAAACGAACACGTAATGGTGTTTTCACATCTGCCACCGACCCAGTTTGTTTGAATTTACGAACAATTTTTCCAGTTACACTCTAGAAACTTTAACACGTTGTTCGATTGTTAATCTTTCCATGGTTGAAATTGCCAAAGTTGTTAAATCTGAAAGAAAAAGGAAAAAAAAAATCATTAGACTTAATTCAAATTTTAAATCGGTCCAAGTTATTGAAACACCATTTATATATATATATATATATATATATATATATATATATATATATATATATATATATATATATTACTCAAAAGTTATTATAGTGGATAGTCGTATTTAAAATAGACGCATCTTTTTTTTTTTTTTTACTTTAAACAGTGTGTATTATGTCTATCGGCCTGCGTATTCGAAAAAATACTAATAACGAAAGTATTAATACTTTAAATACGATTATCCACTTAAGTAACGGTTGAAGTAATAAAAATATTGGATTAAGAATAAATCCATATATATATATATATATATATATATATATATATATTATTATTATTATTATTCTCGATATTCCTTTATATACATTATTTGTTTAGATGCTCAATTTTGATTGGACACCACTTTATAAACGTAAACTCTCCAAATAAACAAATGCTTGTCATCATTTCTTAATAGCACCTTTCATATCGAAACAGGCGACATAAAAAATCTATTCATACGTACATAGGAAATATCAGATGAGACGGAAATGATAACAGGGGTCACTAATAGGTAAATGTTCATCATTTCAATGCCACTCCCAGAACAACTGCATTGTACTTGCAACCAACTTCTCACGGGAATTCACCGGCACTCTGTTCGCGTCCTGGGAACATTTATAAAAATAAGACATAAAAAAACACTAACTTCTTGACAAACACTTATAAGTGCGTTATGAAACATTGATGTTTTCATTGCCTTCTGAATGAAATGACTTGTTGACGTTCTTAACCGCTATTGGCTTGTTGTAACTTACTCACTTAGAAAAAACCTAATCGAAAAAAGATCGTCTGCAACTGTTTTGACTTTAAAATACTTTTGGTCCTTATTTTCATATGACTAGGTATTTATCTTTGTACCGTCTCGAATGGAATGCGTTACAAAGTCAAGTACAAAGTGCGTGTCTCACGTGTACAATATAAAAATAAAGTCCTTTATACGTGAGAGACTCGCACTTTATGCTTGACTTTAGCACGTATTTCGTTCGAGAGGGGAAACGGGTAAATACCTAGTCATATGAAAATAATGACCAAAAGTATTTAAAGCCATATCTGTCAGACAGTTGCAGATGTTCTTTTTCCGATTAGATTTATCTAAGTCACATAATGGGGAAAGAAGGAAAGAGGGCCTAGGGAATATAACACTCAAAGTAGATACTGAAGGCAAGTTAAGCATGGGGAAAAATCAACCTACTTAATGAATTTGAATGAATAGATGACAAAACAAAGATAAAGGGAAATGATTCATTGATTGATTCAGTGATATTAAAGGTAGGATTTCAACTTTATTACCTTCGTATTCACTTGTAAGTTTCACTCGAACAGATTCTTCCTGCGAACCGCCATTTTATGGAACCGACTCCCAAGATGATGCTTCCCGACCACCTTATTCCCTTCGTATTCCCTTGAGGAGATGTAGGTTCTACTTAAACAAAGACAAAGGGGAATGATTCATTGATTGATTCGCTTTTTAAGGTTTATCAACCTTTGCAGGTTATTTAAAGCCAGAAAATATTTTTAGAGTGTAAGAATTTCTTTTTGCGGATAACAAAGACTTAGTTATAAAAGTCTTACTAATACTTAGTGATAAAATTCTTACTAATTAACCCCTAGCTGGGGGAGAAGAGGTGGATTTATACCTTTACCAATGGTATTTGCGCTTAAGTGAATATAACGAACCTAATGGAAATCGAAATTAGAACTTTATTTTCTGAGCTATTATCCACTACACCGCATGCGCATCCAAACTTACAGCACCTGGTATTCCCGAGTGGTCACCCAGCCAGATACTGACTAATCTCGACGTTGCTTAACTTTGATGATCGTACGGGAACCGATGTTTCAACATGATGTGGCTGTACACCAAAGACGAATAACAAACATCACAAGCTCGCTAATACCCCGGCCCAAGGTGTCTTAAATATACTAAATTTGGCTTAGTTTTGGCACAAGGCCTCCAGTATAGAGTCCCCAGAGATGATAGGACTTACTAGTCTGTAGTATTAGTCACTCAGATCAGCTTGCTAACATTTATACAACCGAAGCATCCAGTTGTTGATTAATTCAGAACCAATGATATCAAAGGTAGGATTTGAACCTTATTCCCCTCGTATTCCATTGAGGTGATGTACGTTCCACATGAACAGTTTCTTCCCCCGAACCGCCATTTTGTGGAACCGACTCCCAAGATGATGCTTCCCAGACCACTACAATCTCAACTTGTTCAAGTCTAAGGTTAACGGTTATCTTCCTTATATATCCTTATAAACTGTGCCTCTTACCTCTTACTCTATAACTCTCTACCTAGAGTGGCTCTTCGGTCTAATTATTCTTAAAAAATGCACAAAACCATTCATTCACTTTAATGATTATATATATAATGAGACAGAAAAATCTGTCAGCAGAGGAATTCAATCTGATGGCAGGGAATGATGGACTATTTGCTCGCAGATGGAGATGTGACTTGAAGCAAGAGGGACGTGGTGCTACAGAAAAATGCTGAGAAGACTGTGGACGGAACATGGGAGTAACGATGACCTTTTAAGTAAAATAGGAACGAAAAGACACTTATGCTTAGGATCAGAAAAAGAGATCTGAAATTTATAGGACACCTAATGAGGAAAGAGCTCTTGGAGAATTTGACACACACAGGACACATTGAAATCAAGACGAACAGAGGAAAATAATGGGAATAACCGATCTAACGAACTTGTCTAAATGAACTAGGATGGATTCTAAGCAGACAGATACTGCTAAGAGCTACAAAGAATGGGAAGTTATGGAGAGTCATGATCGCCCAATTTCTGAAGGGAAACGGTACATAAATTTATTGCCTACTGACTTGATCACGACTTCACACTGTTCAACTTTATCTGTTTTCCACACGATCAAAATAAATTGTTCTTGTCGTTGAGCAACAAATTGTTTAGAGTTACAAAGAATAGGAAGTTGAGGAGAGCTATGATCATACACGTCCTGAAGGAACACGGCAAATAAAAGAGTAATTACTGTCCACTTCCTTGATTGCGACTCGTCATTTTTTTCTATTATCAAACGAAACATTTCTGGTCATTCGGCAACAGATCGTTCATAGTGACAAAGAATAGGAAGTTGAGGAGACCTATGATCGTAATATGTTTTGCGCTATCAAATTAAATAATCATTGATGTTGGGAAACACAGTTTAAATATCGAAGTTTGCATATTACTATTTAAATTTGTTTGAGAAAAATTTTTCTTCTATTCTGTGAGCTGTTTATTGAAAAATGATTAAGTGTTTTCAAAGGTCCGAAATGAAAATAAACTTTACTGTCAATAAAGGATTATCATATGCAACCATTCCTCATCTAACGAGTTAGCTATTTAGCGACCTCCCGGATTAACGACCTGCTTTAAAATCGTATAGAATAAAAAAGTAAAAAAAAAAAACAGTTGGTACTGTACATTGTACAAAACCTTTGATCCGGGAAATTTTCTTTCTTCAAAATGAATCAAAATAAATAAATGACACGAAAAATAAATCTACTGTATTTGCCATATTCAAACCAAAGTAATGTACAGAATATAGAACAAATTTTTAAATTTGTTTATTTCATTTACTATTCAGTAAACAACGCAGAGGAGGCACGGCGGAGTAACAGATAGCGGCTCGGATTGAGGAATTGGAGAGCTGAGTTCGAATTCTACTCGAATCCGTTACATTCACTTATGTGCTAATACTCGCTTCTTGCCCCCCCCCCAGCTACGTTTTATAGTTTCGGATAGTCTACCGCAGAAAGAAATGGCGGGATAAATCTGTCTCGTCAGTCGTGTATCGAAAGATACATGATCGCCTAAGAGTGTATCACGCACGGCACATAACTGACTGACACGACTCTACTATATAAACATTTTGACATCTTTTTATTTCTCTATATAAAATTCTATGAATTTCATTACTCTGTCCATCGCACCCTCTAAAATAGCCATACAGGGACCGATCGAAATCAAATTTGGGGGAGAAGTGCAAACAGGTAAGGGGGTACAAAGTGCAGATGATTTTACTAGGGTGCGTAAAAACGGCGAAGTTTTTTGTCAAAGCATTTTTTACAAAGAAATTAGCTTACTTAAATTTCATTGATTGTTTTGCGAAATTGAACGAAACGTAAAGTTTGTAAATGTTGGCCAAAAAATGTAAGCGATAACTTCAACAATACCAAATACTGTGAGGATTTTATACAGGCGTTAGCTTCTAGTGTTACAAATGGTGCAAAAGTGACATTGAAACTGGTTAACACAAACCCATTACACACATAGTATGTTTGAAATAGTCGTCAGGTACAACTTCTCAGGATAAAAAAAGTTCATTAAGCGAGAAGTGACTATAATTAAAATGGAATTTAATTAAGTTGATGCAAAACATTTTCTTCCTGCCACATCTTCTCTGTCAGCCTTGGTTCATTTAGTAAATCTAGCTAAGATGATGCAATTTTTGTGGGGAGATGCTGGTGGATTATCAGTTAACGAGGCCGAAAATGAAATTTGCAGAATGAGTTCAAGTCCCGGCTGAGACGCTTTGTTCACTTTGCGTTATTGTAGGAACTCATTTCCTCTTCCACTACCACTCCAAACATCAGTATGTGTTAAATAAAATAGCACGGCAAACTGGGTTCTCCAGCCTTGGTAGGGCTAGTGAGTCTGGAACAATATTCAGTTAACTCTGTATTTAAGAGTGAAGAATGCAATGAGAAATCACTCCTCTGTAATCTCAGTAAAGCTCTTTGCCATTGATGTCTACTGGGATACAAGTTTACCGCCAAAACTCATATATCCAATCCATTGCTAATGATGCTGGAAAAAGGGTCAGTTCTTTTGGCCACTCCAGAAAGTACCTGACTCCTCTGAGAATATCATGAAGCGAACATGCGAGCAACGACAAAGTTTTAGAGAAAGTGGAAACAAAAAGAATGCTTATAACTTAACATCAAGAAGAGACAATTGAAATATCTAAGGCACATATAATGAGGAAAAAGAGGGCTTGGAAAATTTGATACTCACGGGATAGATTGAAGGTAAGGGAGACAAAATAAAACAACGCATAACATACTTAGTGAGCTTGAGTAAATGGATATTGGAACAAGGTTTAAGTGAAATAAGAAAGGCAAAATTTGTTAACGGTTACAAAGGACAGGATATTGGGGAGGGCCATGATCGCCTGCGTGCTGAAGATAATGAGGAATCAATCCTCTGTAATCTCAGTAAGGCTCTTTGCTGTTAATGTCTATTGGGACACAAGTTTACCCCCAGAACTCATATATCCAATCTATTACTAATGATGCTGGAAAAAGGGTCAGTTCTTTGGACCACTCCAGAAAGTACCAGACTTATTTTATTATTCTAACTTCCATTACTTCAAAATTAATCAAAATAAGTAAAAGGAATGAATAAAATGAAGTTTATTTGCATTATTCCGACATTCTATATTCACAACGTTTCGGCTGTTGTACGCTCCGGCCTTTTTCAGATGATTGGAATTTCGAACCGAACCCTTTATTTCGTCCACCGGGGTAGATTATTCTAGTTCCACGTGCTTCAACGGCACATGGCCCCTTGCATAAAGGCGTTGGTTAGATCTAGTGACTAGACCCAAGGAATAGTGAATTCAATACGCATGGCATATAACTGACTGACTGATAAGAACAAGTTCAATGAATATACAAAAATAGAAAGGAGCGTAACGCAAGGATGCGTCTTCTCACCGGACCTGTTCAACCTATACAGCGAGGGAATTCTGAGAGAATTGGAAACCCTACCGGGATTTAGCATTGACGGCCACAACCTTAACAACATAAGATGCGCAGATGACACAGTACTGATAGCAGACACAGGAAAGAAATTACAAAATCTCCTACAGAAGGTAGCGACGGAGAGTAAGAAGAAAGGACTAAGCATAAACTACAAGACAGAATGCATGGTCATCAGTAAGAGGATTAGCCCAAAATGCAATTTGCAGGTCGGGAACACTAAAACCAAGCAGATGCGGAAGTTTAAATATCTGGGAAGCCTTTTGACAGAGGTCGGTAAGTGCGACAATGAGATAAGTAGACGTATTGGGAGAGCCAAGGACACATTCCAAAAGCTGGGCAGAGTACTGCGAGATTGGAGGATATCTTTGCTAACAAAGAAAAGAATACTGAACTGTTACGTGACATCTGTCCTTCTTTACGGCAGCGAATCTTGGACAATTTCCTCAAAGATGAAGAAGAGACTCGAGGCGACGGAGATATGGTTCTTCAGAAGGATGCTGAGAATATCATGGACCGAGCTTGTGAGCAACGACGAGGTCTTAGAGAGGATGCAAACACGAAGAAGGCTTATACTTAATATCAGGAAGAGACAGCTGAAGTTTCTGGGACACATAATGAGGAAAGAGGGCCTGGAGAATCTGATACTCACGGGTCGAATAGACGGGAAGGAGAGACGGGAAAACAACGCGTGACATACCTGGCGGGCTTAAGCAGGTGAATGACAGAACGTGGTCTGGGGGAGGGAGCAGAGGGAAGGAATTTGTTGAGAGCTACAAGGGATAGAGGAAGGTGGAGAGCCATGATCGCCTACGTCCTGAAAGGACATGGTACATAAAAAGAAAGGGTTTAGTAGACTAATGTAATTTATAAACATTTAGAAATAAATAATAAATGTTAAAAATTGTACAAAAGAGATATTAAACCTTATCTGAAGCTGGCCAACACAAACCCATTACACGCGTCGAGTTCCTGAAATGGCGGATAGGTATGTCCTCGCTTAACGACCATCTCATTTAACGATCATGTCGTTGAAAAAGTAACTGGACGTTAATTGAGGAGTGGCTATACATAATAATTTGCCATTTCTTGATTAGTGTTACTCTAACTCATAATTGTTTAAACACAATTTCTTTACGTCAAATTATTAAAGTTTCGTGTTGTAACTATTTACACTATTTACAATGTTCGGACCATTGACATATTGTTATGATATTCACGACGTTTCGACTATTGTACGCTGCGGCCTTCTTCAATAGACTGAAATTTCGAATCGTCGAATTCCAATCATCTGAAGAAGGTCGGAATGTACAACGGCAGAAACGTTGTGAATATAACAACAAAGATGAGGACGATAGTCCGAACATTGTAAATAGTGTAGTTACAATGCCTCATCTCAGAAATACAGTGGAGCCTCGGTTCTCGAACGTCTCATATGTCGAACAAATCGGTTTTCGAACAGAAAATTCAGGATGAAAACGCCTCGGTTATCGAACAAAATTTCGGTTCTCGAAAAACATAGCCGAACCGAGTTAAAACACAAACGGAATAATTTCTGAGTCGACCGCCGTTTTGTATACATTCGTGTGTTGTACCGTGCTTTTTTTATCCAATATTATTGTCTAGTAACTTTTCTCCCTACATTTATTCCTAATTAAAATATAGTTTCGGCTTACGAACATTTCGGTTTACGAACGGCCTTCAAGAATGAATTAAATTATCTGTATAGACAGATGCTTCATGTTGTAGTAAGCAAAGTGATTGACGCAGGACAATGGTTCACAAGCTAGTCTCACACAACATTTACTGCTTTAACGAGATCGATCCTTACCAGATGTTCTACTTGAAAATCTTTTATAAAAAAGATCAGCACGGCGCCTCGCGACGGAGCAATGATCAACAAGTTAATGTTGCTGGCCATTATTATAATAAAATCAAGCCTCATTAGCTGACCCGCATTTGTAGTCCTGTGTCAGTCTAACCAAAGCATAACAGATATCAAAACAAATAAACAAATTCTAAAATGTCATATTGCAATCCTTTTAATGCATTACACTCCTAAACAAGCATCACACTCAAGTTTTGCTTCATTGCTGTAAATAGCCAAAGTATTGTGTAGATGGGTTGACATTTAAGGATTGCCTACTTTGGGCGGGATTCAGTTATTTCAGCGCGAAAAAGGATAGCAGCAAAACAAATTAAAATGTCTGAATATTTCTTAATGTATTTTGCAATGAAAAACAAATGGAACATTTTAAATGGAAGGATTTGGAGATATAAAATAAGTTTAAAATTTGGTTTGAAACTGGTTTTTGAATCTATTAACTTCAGTTACAGTTATCTATATTTACTCATAAAGCAGATAGATAGATAGATAGATAGATTGATAGATAGATAGATAGATAGATATGATAGACTAGGATAAATAGACATATAGGAAGATAGATAGATACAGAGATACTGATAGATAGATAAACAAGAAAACAGATAAATAGATAGATAAATAGATATATAGGATAGATAGATAAAGAGAAAGAAAGAAAGAAAAGAGGGATAGGGATAGATAAACGTGAAAAAGACTGCCATAGATAGATAGATAATAAAAATGAAAAAACAGCGATAAATAGATAGATAGATAGATAGATAGATAGATAAAAATGAAAAAAACTAATAGATAGATAGATAATAGATAAAAATGAATAAAACTGCAATAGATAATAGATAGATAAAATGATAGATAGATAGATAGATAGATAGATAGATAAAAACGTAGAAAAGACTGCCATAGATAGATAGATAGATAAAAATGAAAAAAAACTGCAATCGATAGATAGATAGATAGATAGATAAAAATGAAAAAAACTGCAATAGATAGATAGATAGATAGATAAAAATGAATAAAACTGCAATAGAATAGATAGATAGATAGATAGATAGATAGATAGATAGGCACGAAAATCTGCGATAGATAGATAGATAGATAGATAGATAATTACAGGTAAAAACGTACAGTAGATTAATATGATCAAAATTTAACAAGTGCCAACTGAAATGCATGATTTGTTACGCAGAAACAGATTGAGCCAACAACTATATAAGACTGTTGATTCTGATTTTATACAGACACACTAACCAACCTCCTACTCTTTCTCTTTCTCCCTTTTCTTTTCCTTACCTCTCTCTCTCTCTCTCTCTCTCTCTCTCTCTCTCTCTCTCTCTCTCTTTACGCTCTCTCGTTCTTATAAATAATACATTTTGTCTGTAAGAGAAGAACAACGCTTCAGTTTTGTCTTATCAGTGGGACGGATATCAGCAGTGGGTTTCATCAAATCGCTGGTCAGTTTCGCCCAGAATTTACACAAACCTGATTCAGGCAAACAATACGGACGTGTCTTTACGCTTGGCTCGCTCGCATTCATTTACTCTTCAGTTTCATTCGCTGCTTCGATACAGTTACATTTATAAGGCAACTTAATCCATATCCAACGGTTAAAGTGACAAATATTAATCAAGTAGTATTAAGTTAATCAAGTAGTATATATTATTTATATCTATCTATCTATATATATATATATATATATATATATATATATATATATATATATATATATATATATATATGCGAAACTATGTCGCACAGGAGAACGTCGAGGAAAGCGTGGCAGTTCCTGAAAATGTCTGGAACCAAAGTGCGTGATGCCATCTCTGCTAATGAAAAAAGTCTAACATCGTTAAATATCGAAATTGAGGCGAAAAGCACCCAGTTTTTTGAGCTCGCTCTTTCAAATGATGAAAAGATCGAAGACCAAAGACACATGTTTGAGGTAAGGATACAATTTTCTCTATCTCAGATCAATCGCAAATTCTTTGTTATTGCTAGAGTTATCTAAATGTCGACTTCTTCTTTTCGTTAGTTCGATCCTCACTAGGTGCCCAACATTTGTGTCCTTGACCCAGACAACTCTAAGCTAAGTCAGACCAATAGGGATTACCCCGTGGGTGACGTTATTTCTTATCAGGTGCGACAGATATTGTTTCTCTCACTCGAAACGTTGAAACACCGATTACTGTACAATCACCAAAGTTAAACAACATCGAGACTGGTCAGTATCTAGATGGGTAACCAGGTGCTGTAAGCTTGGGTGTGCGGGTAGTGTAATAGATAATAGCCCGGGATTGTTAATCGGAGAGTTGAGTTTCAATTCCCATTGGGTTCATTATATTCACTTAAGCGCAAATATCATTGAGAAAAGTATGAATCCACGCCTTCTCCCCTAGCTATGGGTTAATTAGTAAGACTTTTATCACTAAACCATAATAATCCCCCCCCCCGCAAAATTCAAAAAATCTAAAAATATTTTCTACCTTTAGATAACCTGTATAGGGTTGATAAGCCGTAAGAAAGAAATCTATCTATCAATCAACATTTAATAACCTCCAATGTGGTGATGAAAAGTTAATGAAAGTTAAATTATGTATCCGTCTATATTTCTGAGATGAGGTATTATGTGTACTATTTACATTATTCGAACTGTTGTCTTCATTTTTGTTGTCATATTTATTACAACGTTTCGGCCTTGGAGAGGTGAATTAACAGGAGATAACTGATAACTGACATCCATTGGACATGACACGTGGAACTAGAACAGTCTACCCCGGCAAGCAAAATAAATGGTTCAGTTCCACATTCCAACCACCTGAAGAAGGCCGGAGCGTACAACGGCCGAAACGTTGTGATAAATATGGCAATAAGGATGAGGACAATAGTCCGAATAATGTAAATAGTTAAATTATGTTTTTATTTTTTTTTATTTTTATACGCAGGCAATCTCTCCGTATTTGAGAGACTGGCGTAACATAGTCTTCCCACTTCTGATTCTCAAAACTCGCTTTGTATCATACTAAGTTAATCTCAGTAAATATCATTAGTACTTTAATGAGTTCGATCCTCATTGAGTACCCAATATTTGTGCCCTTGAGCCAGACTAAACTAAGCTTAATATTAACATTTTCATTATTGCATAGTCCTCGTTAAGACGATAAACTACATCCAGCAGCAATTCCTCTAATCGGGAGATTGGAGGTTATGAAGAGCGTGGAATCACCTCTTAATTGCTATTGTTCGCATGTCTCCCCTGATCCGGGGTGGTAACACCTGTTAGGGTCCGAGCTCTGAGCAAATAGCGACCCCCCCCAACAAAAACAAAACACTATGAAAGTATAAAAATATATTTTTATAGTAAAAATACCAGCAATATATATTATATAAAAAAAAGAGCAGTAATACATTTTATCTGTAGTTGAAGGCAATTACGTTCAAAATTTAGATTTTGGCATTAAATAACCCATAGTGGTAGATATACCGGAAACCAAATCAACCAAATCAACCAAATAACTATCAGAAAGAACTTCTTCATGACATTAAGCTATATAATATCCTACAATTCCTTAAATCAAATTGTATTCCAAAATATAACTTCAACAAAACTACAACACATATATCACAGCCTCTTCTAATTATGTCCACACAAACATGTATATGCACAAAATCTGAGTATCACCTACCATGTATTCAATTGTGAAAGCAGAATAACATATATCGTATTTTTATTACTTCAAAGCTTCCAAAAAAATTAAATTACGGCATTAAATGATTCAGCAAGGAGTTGATATGCTGTTGAACAATTAAATCAAATCATTATTGCGTCTTTTTCTTTTTTCAGTTTTATCTTAGTTTTCAGATTTCTTTTAATTTAATATCTTCTTGCTTATATTTAAGTTATTACAATAAATTATTGATCTTTACAAATTTGGAGCCGATATATGCTGATCGATTCTTACTTCTAACACTTGACTGGTTGTAGACTAGAAATAAGCATAGGTCAGCATGTACCGACCAAAATTCGAAAGGATAGTATGATAATTTGCATAACTACGTCAATACATCCGGGTCTGCGATGACAGAAGACTTTTTCTTTTTCTTTTTTTTTTAATCATTCATTCCAAGCAAGGCGGTAATGCTACTAGTATAATGGGGGTTTACAGGAAATTAAAGTGAAAGAGAAGACAGAAAATAGGGAGCATTAAGGGTAGGACAAAAGATGAACAGGATTAAAGAAGATAGAAGATAGCGATTGAGGTTGCATTTAAATTTTTGAAGATTTTTTTTTTTACCAGGGAATCAAGTAAATGGAAGAAATTTCCACAGGTGGGAAGTGCGAGAAAAGAAACTGTTGGCGTAGAACTAGCGGTTGCATTTAGCTATTTCAACAGTAAAATGGTGGGATCTAGATGCCAATCTAGTAGCACGCTTAAATTCATGTAGTCGGTGCACCGGGGAAAAAAGGCTCGTCACAGCAGTTGCCATGAAAATATGTACAACTATGTAAATATTGTATTTGAAATTCACTTAAAAACGCTAAGAAATTTCGCTCCGAACAAATATATATTGAGGCTTAGGGCCACATCATGTTGAAACACCAGTTTCCGTACAATCACCGAAGTTAAGCAACGTCGAGCCTGGTCAGTACTTAGATGACCGCTTGGGAATACTAGGTGCTGTAAGCTTGGGTGTGTGGCTCGTGTAATGGATAATGACTCGAAATTGTTAATTGGAGAGTCGAGTTCCAATTCCAGTCGGGTTCGATATATTCACTTACACGCAAAAACTCTTGAGAAAAACATGGAACCACCACTTTTCCCCCAGCTATGGATTAATTAGTAAGACTTGTACCACTAAACCATTATTATCTCCAAAAAAGAAAACAGAATTGTGTACAAAAATATTTGGATTTCGGCATTAAATAACCCAGACAGATGTTGATATGCCGCAAAACAAAAAAAATCAAAATAAATAACATTTATTACTTAATGTGTGTGTGTGTGTGTGCGCGCGCACTCCTTTAATTATTATTTCCAAAGCTAAAATAATTCGTCGTCTTTTGTTCAAAGTTGGCAGCCAAAGGAAATTTGCAGCGATTCCGAAACTATTACGAGCAGGATCCCAAACGCTTGAAACTGCGGAACGAGAAATCCCAAACGGTTCTTCATGTGGCAGCAATTAATGGAAACGAAGAAGTCCTTCTGTTTGCTTTGAATCAAGAAATAGGTCAGTATTGTATTCATTTCTTTATGGGAGCCCACTGAAAATTCATGCGCTTCGATTTAATAATCAGGTAAATCGCATATAAAGTAATTATATGGTAACTTTTAAATTTAATGAAAAATAGGCCTCTCGACAGGAGACTTAAATCGGGTAACTGAGCCTCGCTTTGCTGTAATGTCTACCCGTAGCTTAGTGGTAAAGCACGCCTAGCTTGAGTAAGGTTTCATAGGATAAATTGAATACAGAGTCAATTTTTGTCGAGAGGCGCATTTTCTTTAATCTCTAGGTCAGAAAATTTCAATATCACTGATTAAAAACACACAAGGACAGGTAGATAATCACGACTACCCACTAAGCAACCTCATTCCTTTCATATTCCAGTGGTGAAATGTAAGTTCCACCCATGCAGTTTTATGCTGCTTTGTGGAATAGACACCCAAGATGATGCTCCTCCGCTCACTACAATCTTAACCAGCCAAAGTCTAGGGCCAACTGTTATCTTCCCAACTTATCCCCAACAATTGTGCCTTTTATTCTCTAGCCCTCTACCTCGAGTGGCTCTTGAGCCTTGTACAGGGTGAGCGTCATTGTAAAAACGTTTACAATAAGAAGAAATAATGTTGAATTAAAAAGTAAATTAATTATTAAAGATTACACACACACACGAGAGAGTAATTAAAAAATTATCGGTACTTTCGCCATAACATCTTTATTTGAGAAGGCGGATAATTTTTTTACTTTCACTCGCATAAATATATATATATATATATATATATATATATATATCATATATATATATATCAGATATATATATATATCATATATATCATATATATATATATATATATATATCAGGTCCCATGGGCCTTCCCTCTGTAAACAGAGGGAATGCTAGCTGGGTCTGAATGGTATTGGACTCTAGCTTTCTTGAAATTCATTTTTCCTTCCTTCCATTCGTTATATTAATTCAATTTACACGCTTATATATTTTTTTATATCCCAGAAAATAAACTTGATAAGGCTGGGACGAAACCTCTTGTTCTTTTTTACCTGTTTTAAAATGCCATATAAATTTTGCTTATTCCTAGCTATCGTTAAATTTTGTACCCCCAAAAAACTTATTTAAAGATATATATATATATATATATATATATATATATATATATATATATATATATATATAATGCCAGGCAGTCGAATTCTTTGATTGCAAGCTAATTCCATGTTGCAGATGCCTGATGTTTGCCTCTCGCAAAAAACTTTGAGTAGCATCGTTTTGTCAAGAAGAAGGATATACATTTTTAAATATATCCTTCAGTTCTGTATTTTTTTACACGTTAACGAAAGGAAAGTTAAACTACGGGCGGCGAGGGATAAATGAAGTACATTTTTTGAATGTTAAACGAAAGCGAATTAATGTTGGTTTTGTTGCGGACTGGTGATTGGGTTTAAATTGATCAGAAGGAATTTCGAGGCTGTGTTCTACAACATTCGTCCACAACAATTATTTAGAACAAATACTTGGAACAAATCCTGCAAATAAAGTTGAAAACAAGACAAAAGTTGATTGCATAAAAATAACATCAAATTATATACAATTTATACAAATATTCAAAGTTGTTCAAAGTTGCGTACCTTTATCTGCTTGAGAAAAATGGATTGTTAGTTACTGATACTTGTTATGTAGTGAGAAATATCACTTTGAAAAGTATAGTAAGTGAAGTTTGAGAAAATGTTCTAGAGAGAGATAGAGTGTACTCGAAGGTTACCGAGTCAGTGAATATTCTAATGCGGCAAAGTCAGAGTTTAGACTGTCGTGGACTTGATGGGCATCTCTCTAGGTATGGAGGTCTGACTGTCTAAAGTTAGTAATTGTCTTTAACGTCTGGTCAGCAATGACTAAGACGGGAGTCGGTGAAGGTTACATCTTGAAACTTGGTAATTACTACTCCGAATGTTCACACGTGTTCGGTTTTTTATAATCCGCTGAGTGGCTCTCAGCATACGAGCGGGAAAACAGATTGGTCGCGTGCAGGCGGTTTGATTGGTCGGAACTGGCCAATCAGCAAGCCAGATTGGAGGTGATTGACCAATGAATACTTGTTATATTATCTGAAAGTAGAATTTGGCTCAGCAGATAGGAAGAGTGCATTTCCTACAAAGAGGTAAGGCTGGTTGTGTTGTGGGAGATTCTATAGTTTCATTTCTTTTATTAATATTGTCTTCATGGATATACTTATACACGTATCTGAATTTTTACACGCACACACGCCTGTGTGTATGATTCAACCTAAGCTTCTTTAACAATGTACTTCATTATTATTTATACAGATCGAACATTATTCAGTGAAAATTTATTCATATAGATCTAATATTATACAGTGATAATTTCATATCAAAGTTCAGTTGATATGCGCATATCAGTTTGTGGGGGTATTGATGCATATGTGTGCATATGCAGGCCTCGGTATAGGGCGATGGTTAACGATGCTAGTTCGATTAACCATTACTGCTGAGTATTGATTTCGATCTTCAATGTGTGATCAATACAAAATTCGTCATTAAATAGGTTGGCATGTCTTAAAGGAGTTCTACCGTTCTTAATTCTACCACCTCCTCAAGACATTTGATGTAGGTTTCCATGTTGAATTTGAGGCTCTCACCAACAAATTTTCTTATCAGAACGTTCAGAGTGAGTTTTTCCGAGTTGCCGTTCATTTGTAATCAGCATTAGACTCATCCAACTCTTTCCGAATCCTCTGCACTCAGATTGACACTCAAACACTCTGATATGTTCGTATTGGGGCTTCTGGCGCGAATGCTAAGCAGTTCCTAAATTTCTGGGGGAGTGATTTGCATCATGGTGCTCTTTTTCTCACAGACGGTGCCCAAATGACCCTACTGTACTGTGCCGTTGACAAAATCAAATACAAAAAACTCGCTGCAACCACAAAAAAGATGACATTCATAACAACAACGACACTGATAATAAACTAAATAAAAACACGCATATAACATTACCTACTAACTGCTTAACATATAATATGTAAAACAATTTATTATACTGTTCACATATCTTGGATAAACAGCCTCTTCTGATGGAAAAATGGACAGAGAAATTCAATTCAAGAACAGCCAAAACTAGCACAGTATTCGGTAATGATAAACATAGGTTATGGAACACCAAAGACGTGTCTCTCAGAATAAAGATCGACATATACAAATCAGTCGTTGTCTCAACCCTTCTCTAAGGTGCTGAAACTTGGCCCCTTTACCGCAAGCACATAAATGAAACTGACGCCTTTCACATGCGCTGTCTTTGTGCCATATGTAATATAAAGTGGTATGAAAGTGCCAAAAATAGCGCAATACTGAAGAAATGTAACAACACAGGCATTGAAATCATTAAAGATACAATTTGGTGGGCTAGTCATGTGAGAATGTATGATCATAGGCTTCCAAAAAAGGTGCTGTGTGGACAACTAACAAACTCCAAGCGTTCAGCCGGGCGTTCACTCTTACGCTACAAAGACAAATTGAAAGACAACTTGAAACGTCTCAACTTCGAGCATCAAACTGAAAAGAGTGGCGTAAGACAGGTTTCATTAACTTAAAGAGTTTTGAAGACAGTAGACTGAAGTATTGTGATCAGCTTCGTCAAGCTCAGAAGCAGAGACGCCATCAAAATCTTGCTTTAACAAATTTCATCTGTCAGTGGTTTTGTCACCTGCAGCAAGGCTGGGCTAGTATCGCACTTAAGAAAACACAAATGAAATATGTCTTTTCTTTACCTAAATTTCTCCACAATTGTCCCTAACTTAAGTGTAAAACGAAAGGCACCATCCAATGCTGACCCTCTTTTATCGTTGACGATAGGAGAGTCTACCATATATATATATATATATATATATATATATATATATATAGAAAAACACTCAAAATTACTTATTCCTACACCAAAAAACTCTCAAAATTAGTTATTCCTGCGCCAAAAACATGCAGAACATTATCAGCACGCACAACAACTAAATACTAAAAGCTTCCCAAGACAGCAAAACAGTGAAAAACAAACCATCTTGTAACTATAATGCCGGGACCAATTGCCCAGTCGGTGGTACATGTAATTCGGAAAATGTGTTATACCAAGTTACCATTTTCCCGAAAGAAAATATCAACGACAAAAAAGCATACATAGGGATATCCGCTGGAAATTGGAAACAGAGACGAGACAGTCACCGACATTCCTTCTACAATACTTTCTTGAGAAATCAAACTGCTCTATCCAAGCATTATTGGAAGATTAAAGAGAGTGGTTTCATTCCACTAATCAAATTAGAACTCATCTGTCGGTCTCAAACCCCCAACAACTTCTGGGACTGTGTATACAAGAAAAATTGCAATGATTAAATACACAAATGCTAACAAGTTGTTAAATCAACGAAACAAACTAATCTTCAAATGTAGACATAAAAACAAATTTAAAATCTCGTAAAAACGTTTATTTATGGAGAGGGGATGTACATTTGAAGTCTTGATTCATTTATAGGGGAAATAGCACATATGGGGGTACATTCATGTATATGTATGCATGTATATATGTATGTATATGTGTAGGTGCGAATGTGTGTTGATATTGCGTATCACACGATTTTGTGTTTTTTGCGTGTTTCTTCATATGTAGTTAGATCTATGACTGCTTTGCCGTTGTATGCCACACCCATATTTCTAAATTAACATATTTTGTATCCTTATCCATAAATCATCTTACTCAGTTTTTGTTTTTTTTTATTTTATTTTTTACTTTAATGAAGTCCGAAAGGACAAAACGCGTGACAAGAATACCTTTACTACATTGTCATAGATTTTCCCCAAAGATATATATATATATATATATATATATATATATATATATATATATATCCGAATGCAATGAGAACGAAGATAATATATAAATTCCAACGTTCACAGCATTAATTCAAAAGGGGACTCAATACCGATAGTAG